TGAAAGCCTAGCATGGGCCGATCCCAATTTGTGAAATTATGAGGACAGCATCCAAGGGGTTAAAATACCTAGCATGGGTCATCATCTTCTACCGCTGATCAGCTGGTCATTTGTATCATATGTCTTATAAATTATTGTAATACACAGAAAAGTAAAGAAAAAAATGTAACATACACAATTTCACAAGTATAAGCAAATGTGGTCTCTAATCTTTATCTGTTGATATTTGGTTTCACTTGAGCTCTCATTTTATAAATGGTTGTATTATGCCTTACATATTCAGTACATTCTTTCGTACTGACGTCACTTATTGGGGATGCTGCATTTCATGTTGCAGGTACATGTATCCAACAAGTAGATCTCCCTAATAGAAGCACATGATACTCAACGATTGTTGGTGAGCTCCAGGTTGATTCGGGGCATTGCCGAGTCTTTACTACATGTATCCCAGTAGAGGCTTTGTAGACATTGTAAAGCTATCATCTGAAATCATAGTTTCACTTGTCACGTGTATCGATTCAGCTAGTCAACATGTGTTGTATATGAAGCTTATCATCAGTAAATTTATCCGCATAGTAGTTTACTTTCTAATCATACTTGTAAAACATGTGTTCATATGATACTTGTTCGTCTTACCTAGGGTTGGGGTATGACATAAACATTCAAATGTCTTTTATTTCTATGGAAATGAATTGCGAACTATTACCATATCAACAAATGAATACACTTATGGAGCATTTATACTCTCAAACATTGATTCCAAGAATGATAAACCTCAATTATCGTTAACTGACCATGTATTGTTCTTTCTGAAATTTCCATTTGCTCTTTTCCAATTTCTGTACTAAAAATGTGCCAGTTTAGAGGATAAAGTTTCAAGCTTTATCTTCCATTTTGAGGGATTCTAATATTTAAATTGTTTTGCTATGTGTTGCCATATTTTCAGTTTTTGACAAACTTTGAACTGTATAATTACAGGAACTCCCTCACTTGATTTTGTGACTTTTGTTTAATGAAGTTTTTGGATTCTCAGTCGGTTCAAGTTCGCTCAATAGGGAGAATGAAATGAATCGGTTACTTAACTTTTTGGGATGCCTTCGTTATTTAGCTTTCCAGGTAATGTTTTATCCCACATTTTTGTGTCATATGTCACTTTCCAAACAGTTTCACTTCCATCATCAACCAACTCAACTTTGTGAATTTACTAACACTACACAATTTTCTCAGGAACCCCCAACAAATCCCTATGCTATGGTTTTTTGAATGAAGAAGATCAACTACTAAGAAGCGAACTCCGGCGTCCTCTACATATGATAAACAATGACATGCTAATCTTATATTTCAAAACTGAAACATCTGCTATATTATTTTGGTTGTATTACATTAGTTAGTATTTGCAGATCGTTTAAGTCGGCATCATACTGATGTCTGTTGTACATATTCTAAATATTTCTAATAGTATATGATATATGACATTATCCATCTTTTGCAAAAGCCATCACCCTTGATTCATTAATATTAATATTTTTACAAGTATAATATTTTGACTATTGGGCCCGTGCTTGCCACGGGCCTCCCCCATCTAGTATATATATCACAAAATAAACTAACATGGGTTGTGGTGCACTGGTGGGAGTGTTTCACTCTTAACCAGAGGTCTCGGGTTCGAGCCCTGGGTATGGAGAAAATCTTGTTGGGAGCGTCACCCCCGAATGGACCTTGCAAAGTGCAATCCAGATTTAGTTGGAGCTCCAATGTGGGATCTAGACACCGGGTGAGAAACCAAAAAAAAAAAGATATCACAAAACAATAGGGGGAAATAAGAGATCGTGGCAAAACAAAGAAGAGACACATGAAACATAATTTTATTGTTTGTTATGTTTCAAATCATGTAACATTTTTCATGTTACAAGAGTTAAAAGTTAATTAATTTTTAAAGTTAAATTATAAATTAAATAACTTAATATTTTAAAATTAAAATACTTTAAAAATTTATAAATGTAGTATTTTTCATATAAATACAATTTTAAAAAAATTAAACTATTTATCAAAATTAACACCGTTTAAATCTTGAGAATGGAAGAAATAATTAAAAATAAAACAAAGGGAGTACGTACTACATATATCACTAATGAATATGATGTAACCAATGAGGTTGTTTCTCCTTTAATTAGAGATTTCAGATTTGATCCCTGGGTATGAAAAATCCTTTAGAGAGAGCTTTTCGAGGAAAAGAAAAGCGATGCAAATTTAAAATATAATCTAACTTCAATATAAATATCGGATATGTCACCTGAACTAAAACATAAAGACTACTTATTTGTCAGTTTATGAGAAATAGCAACTTAGGTAGTAAACAAACTCAAGTATTGGGACTTGGATATATTTTGCCCTCATTTTTTTTATTATTTTTGGTGTTACATTAATTAATTCTTATTACTATTAAAGGAGACAAAACATAAATAAATAAAATTATTGTTTACACTGACACGTGGTATTTATATGTCTGACTTGGCAAGAAAACAACAAAAACTCCCCCGGCAATTAAGTACAAAATCAAGGTTGTCGAATTCATCGTTATCCTTTGATTTAATAGCCAAAAACATAAGTAAACTATCATTTATCGTTAAAATATCTTACAAATATATTGAAATAGAAAATAATTAAGCGAAGTTTTTGATTATTTTACTCTTAAATACTTTCTCTGCTAATTATCAATTTTTATTGCTTCTTAAGATACGTGTCAAATCAAACATAAACAATTAAATATGATCAAAGATATATTATAAGATACATATCATCTCTCATCATCATCAGCTATTGATAAATATGTTAAACATGAATAATTAAATATGAACCAAAAAAGCATATCCTAAAATATTCTACGAGATACATCCCATCTTCCACCAACAATAGATACCGATAAATGTATTTATGTGAGTTTCCCATACTGATTTGGAAACTTGTACCCAGAGATTTGAATCAAAAGTTTTATCACAAAATGACAACAAAAACCCACGTTGACACTTATGTTAATTCACGTGGCAAATCCCATTTTATGACTTGTGATTGACCAGAAAATAGGCAAAGAATCTTGTCGATTTTATCTACTTCGTATTTATCTACAAGATCCTACTATACTTGGAATCTTTTTTTTTTAGTTAGTAGAATAAAATATCCATTTATTCTATTTTATGTAAATTATTATTAAGTGTAAAAATTGAATATGTTTATGTATCATGCTTTGTTTAAGTCAACCTTGTCGAGGTCATAATCTTAAAGTGTAAAAATATAGAGTTGATCTTGATAAGTTATAATACATTTGAAATATTTGTTAAAATCACAAGTGTAGTAAAAGATATTCAAATCTTTGTCAAATTTATAATTTATTCGAATTGAAATAGCAGAATGTTATATAAAAGTTAAAAATTTTAATGACGATAAATCTTAGTATAAAATTATATTAAAAGAAAGCATAATAATTTTGATATGAATTGATTCATTAGAAAGAGGTAGCATTATAATTATGATAGAAAGTTAGGATAAATTTTCTAACACAATTTTAGTCACTAATGTTTGAATTTGATATTGACAAATCATATTAAACTTTAGGTAAAAATATTTGATATTTGGCATTCAGATGTAAAATCACACTTTAAACAAAAAATATTCAAAATCAGACGTGCATACTCTAAATTTTTTCTTAAAGATGATAAGCTTGCAAAAATATTTAGCTACTGTTATAAATTAAATGACAACCTTAAAAGCGATTATTTATGCCCTTCATCCCCTAAATTCACACTAATCCAACAGTTTAAGGCTAGATCCCTTTCTAATTAACTATATAATGTATGTAACTAATAATAGAGTAAATTTTAGTTTACCCCAACATAATTTTTTAGCTTTGAGATGCAATATTTCACCTTTCAAATAAGATAATAAATCTCTTTAATCTTAGATCAATGATTAGAAATAAGTTGTCCAAATTCTTGATCGATCTTGTTACTTATCACTTGTATTATTGTTGGTTATGAAATTTCACTAATTATATAATGTGTATATATATTGACAAAAAATACAAATAATTATAATTATGCGAGTGAATCTTTTTAATCATTTAACTAAAAAAATATTAACATCTCTTAATCCCCCCCCCAACCCCAACACACTCTCTTTCATATTATATTAGTAATTTAAATACTCAATTTAATTCATCACATGTTGTACGTCATATATATTGTCAATAGTTTATTTTGTTACAAGAAAAACATCTCATTTTAAGCCATACACCAAAGTACCCCAAAGCAATCACCAAAAGGCACAAAAGTACCTATAATAAATGTGAAAGTTCAAAATCGAAAGTTATTAAGGCTTTAAAGTTTTAACTTTACATAAAACTTAATGGAAGAAAATATAATCATGATCATTATTCAAAAATTTAGATAAAAACGTTTTTGCGGAAGTAAAAAAAAACAAGTTAACAAATAACATTTTATATTAGTTATGTTCTCCTCACTCTTCAAATATTTCATCTTCATGCCACCTATATAGTCTTCAATCTCCATCCCCTCACCTGCCTCCTCTAGTATTTGAGGTAAGCCGAAGTGAGATATTCGATGCAGATAAGTATTAATGATCCGATTAAGAATTGGATAGAAGTATAGCCACATGTGTTAATTTTCTATGAATTCTAAGTTTAGGCACATGTGTTAATTTTCATTAGGAAGGTAGAGAAACTATTTCCGTTATTTTCGATACTTCATGCAAATTCATCATTTTATTTCTTCTACTAAAATATCTTCCATGAGCTGATGTTACACGTGTCTTCTTTTTCTCAACCTAAGCTGGACTTTTTCCATTGCCACCCCCCCCCCCTCCCCCACCCCCCAACTTTCTCACTTTTTCTCACTATTGCCCCCACTATTTTTTCAACCTCTATATATAACCCCCTTAATTTTCCAATATTCTCAAAACTCACTCTTTTCTCTTTTTTTTTCACCATGCAAACAATCAAACCCCTCAATTCTCCTTCATTTTCTTGCAAAATTCTCATCAACCCTTCTAAAAAAAACACTATAACTCTTCCAAGAACACGAATTCCGCCTCTGCCATCACCACCATCGTCACCATCATCGTCGAATTCAGACGAATCGAAAATATTTCCACTAAAAATTGACCATCCCAAATTAAACCCTTTTCAAAAAATTGCTTCCAATGCTTTGGACATGTTAGAAAAATTAGTTGTAACAAAGTTGGAAAAAAAACATAAGCTGAACCGGACGGTTGACCCGGAAATTCAACTAGAAGGGAATTTTGCACCGGTTCATGAATCCCCGGTTCAGCACGGTCTTGACGTAATTGGTCAGATTCCGTCAAATTTAACCGGGGTCTACGTTAGAAATGGCGCGAACCCGTTATTCGAACCAATTAACGGACATCATTTATTTGACGGTGACGGTATGATTCACGCCGTTAAATTAGATTCGGAAAATAATAAAGCTAGTTACTCATGCCGGTTCACTCGAACCAGCCGGTTGGTTCAAGAGGCTTCAATAGGCCGGCCGGTTTTTCCTAAGCCAATTGGCGAATTACACGGCCATTTAGGGTTAGCTCGGCTCGCGCTATTTTTAGCGCGAACCAGTTTAGGGTTAGTGGATGCTACCAAAGGAACCGGCGTTGCAAACGCCGGTTTGGTTTATTTTAACGGTCGACTTTTAGCTATGGCGGAGGATGATCTTCCATACAATGTTATTATTAAGGAGGATGGCGATCTAGAGTCTAACGGACGCTACGATTTTAACGGACAAATTAATGATCCATTGATAGCACATCCTAAAGTGGACCCCATAACAGGGGAATTTTATACTTTGAGTTATAATGTATTAAAAAAACCTTATCTTAAATTCTTCAAATTTGACACGTGGGGTAATAAGTCACGTGACATTTCTATTTCCCTCCAAAACCCATCCATGATCCATGACTTTGCCATCACGGAAAGTCACGTGATCATTCCGGATTATCAAGTGGAATTCAAGTTATCCGAGATGATACGGGGCGGGTCACCCGTAATCCATGACCCGAATAAGGTATCTAGGTTCGGTGTGTTGTCGAAAGACGACCATGACGAATCAAGAATCAAGTGGATTGATGTTCCTAATTGCTTTTGCATGCATTTGTGGAACGCGTGGGAGGAGAATCATGAAGAATTAGGTGACAAGATCATTGTGATTATAGGTTCATGCATGAGTCCACCTGACTCGATCTTTTCAGGAAGTGATGAGCTTTTAAAAAGTGAACTGATTGAAATTCGATTAAATTTGAGAACAGGAAAATCAACCAGACGGATTATAGTATCAGGGATGGATTTAGAAGCGGGACAAGTCAACAAGACTAGACTTGGTCAAAAAACTCGGTATGCCTTCATGGCTATAGCCGAACCATGGCCAAAATGTAGTGGCCTAGCAAAAGTCGATTTGGTCACGGGAAATGTCACGAAATTTTTATACGGGGATGACAGATTTGGGGGTGAACCTTATTTTGTACCGAGCACGAAAGAAGGAGAAGCAGAAGGAGAAGAAGATGAAGGGTACCTTATGAGTTATGTTAGAGATGAAAATAAAGAAAAATCGGAATTAATTATAGTTAATGCTAAAAATATGAAGCAAATGGCCTTAGTAAAATTACCTAAAAGAGTGCCATATGGCTTTCATGGTACATTCATTAGTTCACAAGATTTATGTAATCAATCTTATTGTTAATACAATTCATAGAGTTAATTATAATGTAATTAAATATTGTATAATTCTGTTGTTAATGAAAAAATAATTTTAAGACTGAATATAACATTAAAGGAAAATATAATCTAATAGATGGAATAACAACATTTTTGTGTCATTGCATTATGTTAAGAGCGTGTTTTATTCGATATATGGAAGGTGAGATATTTTTACACAATATATAAAAGAAAGATATTTTTAAACGAATAATTATAGTAGCTCAGTTGATTGATTATGTCAACTATACCTTGTCAGTAAAGATTACATTCTCTCGTTGTAATCTTGTCACCCGTTTTTCTTATCCTTATCTCCATTTTTAAAAGAAAAAAAATAATATTTTGGAGTCATTTTAAATAGGTTAAAAAAACATTTTTGACCTTTTGTTCATATTCATTTACTAAGTTTTGACTTCACGTGGATGACTTCCGATATCAATATATATATATATATACTGGTCCAACTTATTTTGACTTACAACATGTTTTTTTTTTAAAAATTTTCTTCGTTTATTTATCATGCAAATAAGGTGTAGGCATGGTAATAATTAAAATAACTATGACATTATGACAATGAAAATAAAATATTAAATGTAAAATTAAGATTTTATAGTAAGTGAAAACGATACAAATGTCAAGGACAATCAAAGAGGAGCATTAATCGGAGGAGTAAAATTAATTTTGCGATTAATAAAGTTTCTTTTTATGACCTAATTTGTCATATACTTGTAGGTGATATGCAATATGTATTAAATTATACTAATGACAACAATAACTTTGTAGAACATAAACAACAAAGTTTAAATCATGTAGTCAATAACATAAATTAATAATATAAACATAAATTAATGACTGTAAAACATATTAGGATCTGTAACAATAGTATAAACAGAAAGGAAAGGAAATCGAACTCATTGAATGGACAATGTCCCTTAAGGAAATTATTCTCCTCTAGTATTCGAGGTTTTAAAGGAATAGACCTCCCAGGATATAAATTAAAGACTCTATTCACCAATGTATTGATATAAAAAACAATGGTGTTAGCGAGCCACTCAATGGGAGTAAAATACATATTTAATTGTGCAGAAGAAGAAGTAGTTTAGAAATTTCGTAAGTGAAAAGTCTGAGGAATCACATGTATTTATAGCCAAGAAGCACTGTTTCCGAAAGTTTGCAGCCTTTCAGATCAATCGATCAATTATTTTTCAAAGCCAAAGTCAAAGCCGAGCGAGCAACGATAGTGGCGGCAAGGGTCCTCTTTCCAACCTTTTTAACAACTAGTAGAAGTGTTTCCTTATTTAAACATTTGAACTTTTCTTTCCTTTACCAAAGCACAAGAGAACACTTCATATTCCGTCCTTTCATCTTTCGTTCATTTCCCATTAACTCTTACTATATATACCCAACGGTAGGAACTAGTAGAAAATGGAACAAATTGTGTTATACTACTAGTAATCTCATTTCCATCTTGAAAGAGTTTTATTATAAGGCTTGCAGACTAAAGATTAATAATAGTACTTTTAATCCTTCAATTATTGACAAATTTTAATTACAATCCTTCTAATATATTTTTCAATAACTTGCTCCTTGCCTATGATTATTTACAAAATTTCAAAACTATTAACAATTAATTTAGACATATGTAATGTTATACTTGTATTGTTATTCCATATTAAGGTATATAATTATATAAACAATTTTAGTATAACATATTTCACACTTAAAAGAAATCAAAGGCATACATTTTAGTCAAAGGATTAAATCGAATAACCAAACCAAATTAAACCGAATTTTTATTTGGATTGGTTATTTGGTTTTTCGGATTGGTTTTGGATTAATAAATTACTTTGTTTGATTTCTTGGTTTGGTTTCGGATTTTTAAAAAATAAAAACCGAAAGACAAAAAAAGAAACTGAATTATATATATATATATATATAAAAGTTAATGTTTAGATTTAGAATTAAGTTGGAGTTAACCACTTTTGTCCCTTTTTGGTTATTGTCTTTCATGATGATTACGTTTATATTTTATATTTGAATTACATCTATAATAAGTATACTTATAAGTATTGTGTTTTAAGTTTTACTTATGATTTATATTAGAAAGTATATTTAAGGGATTAAATATTATTTCTTTGGTTATATATGTTATTAATTATTGACATAACCGAATAATCAAACCGATAAAAGCCGAACCGAATAGAGAAAAATCAAACCAAACCAAATTTATTTTGGATCAAATTGGGTTACACTTTTACAAAATTAAAAACCAAAAATCCAAACCGAATAGTGTAAAACCAAATCAAAAATCCAAATGCATACCCCTAATCCAAACTATCTATAAAATGACATGACAAAATATCATGACCTTCACCACCTAATTTTGAGTGTTAGAGATTAACAAAAAGTTGCCAAGTGTTTTAGATATCATTTTCTCATAGACCTTCACAACAATATGTTGGATAAAGTGTTACATTTCATTTTTTTCTCCAATTACATTGAACAATTATGAATTTGTTTACCATAGTACAAAAAGTGATCACTTTTTATTTGTTTGTTTATATACCTATCTTTTGGCTGGTAGCTCTTTGTTTGCATAAACTTTAGTAGTGCTTATCATGATATCATAAAACCCTTTTTTAGGCTTAATATAATTACGGCCTTCTAAAATTTTTAGGAAATTTCACTTAAATACTTGAATGAAGATCTGTTTTAATTGAGCATTTGAATATATGATTAAATATTATTATTAAACACATTTGACTCATCAAATTAAAATTTATGTGCGTGTGTGAGTACATATGTACATTATATAAATAAGTTAATTAATCACTTAAAATATGCCATTTTTCTTAAATATACACATCATCCCCATTGAAACATGTCTACGATATGACAGCTTATTGAAACTAATTCATATTATTAAATAATATAATATATTGCAAATGATTACATTTGAGAACACCCAAAAAAAAAAAATCAAAATTTGAACAGAAAATATCTAATAGGAACACTTTATGATACAAAATTCTACTAGATTAGAACACACTGTAATTTAAATATCTAATTTTTTTATTTTATCGAGATGATAAATATCAATATCTTGGATCAACATATTATGCTTTCTCCTATTACTTGGGACAATTGTGAATTTGCCCACCATGGTACTTCTAGTGTCCACTATTTATTTCTCCATGTGTTTGGATTTATCGTTTGTGATTTGATAATTATAAATTATAATTAAAGACAGCCCACCAATTAATTGGAATATACAAGTTTTTTATTCAATTTTATTGATTACTACATATGTATTGATTTTAAAGGCCAATTTTTCCCTTTTAAACATTTTTGTAGATGCCTTTACTTTCAAATCTGTTAGGCCATTTGAAAGTGAAAAATGAATGTACTATAAATGGTACTCCATTTATTTTAATTTGTTTGTCTTTATTTAGATTATAAAGATCAAGTTGACTAAAAAAAAAAGCATGCTAAAAATGGAACAAGCACTATCACAATATGATAATGGAAGTGCTAGAAACATAAATGAAATAATAAGAAACTCTCATAGTAATACTACTAATATGAAAGACTAAATAAAATAACTTTCAATAACCTAATTAATTTTTGAGCTATAATTCATGTCCTTCATAATTTTCTACTTGAGGTTATGTCTTCAGTAAGCTGGAGTTGCGTCATGTCTTATTTAATTACCTTTTTTCAAATATTTTTTCGGCCTTCCTTTGCCTCTCATGTAACCATCCATAGCCAACCTCTTAGTGTATCCGTGCATCTCCTCTTTACAGCACGAACCATCTAAGTCTCACTTTCGGCCCGCATCTTATCTTCCCTCGAGGTAACTTCTACCTTTTCCGAGATATTCTCATTTTAATCTTATCTATCTTAGTGTACCAACACATGCATCCACCTCAACACTTCATTTTCACAACTTTCAACATCTTGAACATGAGAGTTTTTGATTGACCAACATATTCGATCTAATCATAACTTTATAGAACTTGTCTTTACATTTTAGTGACTCCAGAAGTGAGCCTCTATTTCACCCACCCTACATCAATACAATGTGTAACATCTATTAAATTAACATTTGAGTAAAGTAAAACTAATTAAGAAGGTTAACCTTTCAAGTTGATTAATTAAAAAATAATATGCACCTTTATGAATATATTCATGTTAATCATGATGGACTCCAAGATAGGTGGGAGGCAAGAGGAGTAATCCTCAAAAGCAAAACATATCTCAACAGTCTCCTATAATGGCTCACACCCATAATAAATTTTTATCACTAATATTACTATGTTCTATATTAAAGGTGTGTGACACTTGAAAAGAATAGATAAGCACTTTGAACGATTAAGCTTTGGAAGGCCAACTCATGGAATGAAAAAGTGTTTATAGCATATTGATTAGTAGGAGAAATATAAATATTAGGCGGAATACATTAACGATCTCTTAATCTTATAAGTATATCTTGTTTACACTCGAATTATAATTCGTTTCAATTTGAACATATAATAAAGCGATTGTATTAGATATTTCAAGCTCAATTTTTTGAAAAGTTGTGTGTTTTCAAGCACCTTATTATGTAAGATAAGTTAAACATAAAAAATATTTCACTTTCTTAAACTATACACATCTGATCTGTGTCAATTGAATATATCTAAGATTTTACGATTTATTGAGATTAATTTATAGGGAACATGATATGAAATAACAAACTATTAATTCAAACTAAATGATATAACCACAGTTTCATTTAATTTTAATTCATAGCAAACTTTTTGTCATTCGCCTCTCTCCCCTGAATCTCCCTTGCCTCTCTCACTTTATACAAACACAAATGTATAAATTGTGTTTATGTTTATATAAAGCAAGAGAGAACTGGATGTACAAATACAAATACATATCTCTTCGTCCTATACACTTATAATTATACAAATACAATCTTCCCCTACTCAGTTCTCCTTTTGCCTTTCTCACTTTATACAAACACAAATTATACAAAATACAATGTATAAATTATGTTTGTGTATGTATAAAGCGAGAAAGAACTGTATATACAAATGCGTATATCTTCGTGAGATACACTTATAATTATACAAATACAAATACAAATCTTCTTATGCCCAGTTTTCTTTTGCCTTTCTCTTTTTCGCTTTATACAAACACAAATGATACAAAACACAATGTATAATTTGTGTTTATATAAAGCTAGAAAGAGATTTGATATACAAATACAACTATTTTAACTCGATTCAATTGTATACGAATTCAAATTTTATGCAGATATACAAATACAAACGCAATTTTCATAGACACAGACACTCAATTTTTACAAATAGTTGCAATTTATACAAATCAAATTCCTACGATTTTATACAAATCTGATGTTTGCTATGGAGCACAAATAGCAAAATTGTAGCTCTAAAGAGCTAATATGATTTTTATGGTTGCTAAACCTAAAATTTACTCTAATTTATATAATTAAAGAACGCGACATATTTTAATACTAAAAAGTATTGTTACTAAAACTTATATGACATAATATTGTATCTTTAGTGGAATTTGAATCCTGGTCTCCGACGTACGCTTCGACCTTCGTGGATAAGGAAGCAATGTTACCTAACATCTTCTAAGCAATATTTTCTTTTCATACAATACAAATAGAATTTTTATAACACAAATGAATAATTAAAAAAGGAGGAAAACAAGTAATTAAAGCAATATTTTTATTTTACAAAATCATGTCTCTATTTATTTTTACTTGTCTACTATATACTAAAAATAAAACTTCATTTTTATTTCCACTTTAACGTATCAATTGTTTCTTTTCTGATTTAACTACACTTTTCCAAGACCTTCTGAAATTGTAAGTCATGGGATATTATAGTAAAATATACACTTTATTTTTTTAAGAGGATCTAAAGTTCATTATGAATCTGAGAAACAAAATTAGAAAACAATGCAACTCAAAGGAGTAAAAGCGCATCTAGATAGTTATACTATAAAGTAAACTTCTTAGTAAGAAATAAAATAAGATCAAACACAAGACACTCTACTCAACCTTTCACCAAAGGATGAATTTGTGATTTATAAGACAATTATGAAAGATCAAAAGCACAAAGAAGAAGATGTTTAAGTAGGATTAGGATTAGCCAAAAATATCACCAGTAGAACATAAGATCATAATGAGTGAGAAAAACAGGTAGTCATGTTAATCTATAGGAAATGGGGACTTCTACTATAGTCTATACAGCTAGTTGCTGCAAACTTTTTCCCCGGAACAAGATTTACCCCACCGCGAACAGATATGCAAAACGAAGTACCATAAGAGCTATTCTGATGATAACATGAACAAAGTTAAACCATTCCATCCCACAGGCATTCGTTACGAACCTTGCTAGATGTCAAGATGGGCTCAACATCTCTAGGAGGGTTTAAACCAAAACTCTTAGCACGCTCCCATCTGTCAAGTCTGCTCAATCCAAGACATGGCCCATAAGTCATATTCGTGTCAAATTGCCTTAATAACTCCTCGTTCTCGTCATAATCATCTGAAAATTTAGGTAATTTTAATTTGTAAGTACAAATGCAAACCTCTTGATATGAGAAAAAGTATTACAAGAAGAAAACCGAAAAATAGAGAGCAACAGATATATTTTAACTGAACACAAGGTTAATATTATCTTTTACATTTCTCTACTAAGATACGAATAGGAACCGGTGACACAAGAAAATTTCAATCTACATTCTCCTGGTAATTCCCATACATAGAAAACCTTCAATCATACTACTTGTAAAAGAAATGCTATGTTGATGATCGCATTGAGCATCTGTGTTTTTCAATTTGTATAGCAGCAAGTTTGTCTATTTGTCATTCCATATAGACAACTCGTCGAAAAGCCAATTTCAGTAGCCTTGTTTGAAATTCATGTATACCATTGACCAACTAGGAGGACAGAAGAGTACATACCGGGTTTTATTACTCCATTCTTGCAATTCTTAACCCTTTATCTTAAGTACATACTGGGTTTTATTAAGCACGCAACAGGAGAGACAATAATTCATGAATGAGGTAAGCAACATCATCCCGACAAAAATGTGCATATTATCATTTATTAATTGAATTTAGCAGGATGAGAAAGTATTAGAAACCGTTATGAACGTACATCTTGCACTGCCTGTATCTGATAGCTTCATATATACAATCCTGTAACCTTTTCATATGCCATATTAACAATGGCTATAGATTTGGGCTTTTCAAAATCTAAAACGATGCATGAATAGATGAATTTATAATTTATAGATTAAACTCAACAAACTTAAGGTCATCCAATCTGATCATAAACAAACAGAGGAAAAATTCATTATGCAACATCAGTATGAAGGGATAAATGCTGATGGAAATTGGAGTGTTTGATGTGTCTGGTACGAAAGAATACATTTTTTTCTTCTGAAAAAATCATACTCAAAACTCTATCTCTTATAGCTTGCATTGTATGAATATCATATGTAACTTACTTCACGCACAACCAAACAAGGGAAACGTTGATCCAAAAAATCATTCTGTGTATTCCTCTGTACTAAATGACAGTGGTGGAGTCGTGGACACAACATAGCCACGCCAAATTCATCTGAATATAGTACTTTGATGCAGAGCATAAATTTATATGCAAAATTACACTAAAATTGTACTAACAAATAGCAAATATGACCGTATAACCTTAAGGAAAATGCTTACCAACTAGCAAATCGAGAGAGCAATAGGAAATGAGGACTGGAGGATATATTCATTAGGCAACACAGTAAAACAATTTTTTTTTCTGAAAAACTATCCTCATACTCTATCTTACAGCTCGTATTGTATGAATATCATATGTAACTTACTTTACACCCAATTAAACACAGAAATACTAATCCAGAAAATTACTATCCATAGATTCCTCTGTACTAAATGAAAACTTGGGGAAAATGCCTACCCGCTTGCAAATCGGAAGAGCCATGGGAAACGAGGACCGGATGCTGTATTCATTATGCAACACATTGTATAAACATGAGTGGAGGCTCAAAAACACAGCTCAACTAACAATTATGATATCTCGATTGGGTAGGAAAAGGAACAAGTGATTGTTTAGCTTGTTTTGATAAATAGTTGGTTATGATTCCGCTGATAAATTAGCACACCGATAACTCAGATATGAAACTCGAAAAAACATGTAGGTGTGTTTTCAACAATTAACTCAACGAATATTATGTGTAACTCAAATTACGCCCAACCGAACACTGAAAAACTAATTCAGAAAATTAGTTTCCGTAGATTCCTCTGTACTAAATGAAAACTTAGGGGAAAAGCTTACCAGCTTGCAGATCAGGAGATCCATGAGAGATGAGCGCCGGAGACCGGGTATTGTTTGAGCCGCGAGCAGCTGCTAGCTTTGGAGTTACCGATTTCTTTGTAGTAGTAGCAGCCAATGATGATTTTGAATGTGTTGGCTTTGTGATTCCGCCACTTTTCTTCGTTTGCCTGTAGAATCCCTTCATATCTGATTTCGACGCCATTGTTATTTGCTCTGTTTCTGTGTGGTTTTAGATTTTGAATTTTGAATTTTTTGGTTCCTTCTAGAAAAAGGCGCCTTGCCTTTTATATTAGCAACTTTGGGCCTAAATGCGGGTCTGGGCTCTGTAAATGGCCAGCATCTTTTTGGGCTTTTAAGCTTCATTAGCGGAATGAGTGACGGTTAAGCAAATATATACTAGTTAATTAATTAACGTAGCTACAATTTACATTAATTATAATTCGGGACTTACTTCTAGCTATAATTGCATTTCTCTCTCTCTTCCTCTCTCTCGCCTCTCTCTCCTCTCTCTAGAATCTCGCTCGCATCTCTCATCTGTTTCAATCATCTCTCTATCGCCTCTCTCCTCTCCCTGCCCAGTCTCTCTCAATCCTCTTCTGCCAATCTCTTTATCTTATCTTATACAAATACAAATGTATATTTTGTGTTTGTATTAAGAGAGAGACTAGATATACAAATAAAAATGCATATTTCTCTACCATATACACTTGTAATTATATAAATACAAATATCTCCCTGCCCAATTCTCTTCTGCATGTCTCTCTCTCGCTTTATACAAACACAAATTATACAAATACAAATGTATAATTTGTGTTTGTATAAAGCGAGAGACACTGAATATACATATACAAATGTTTGAACTCGATTAATTGTATACAGATACAAATTGTATGTAGTTACACAAATACAATCATTGATACATATACATATTAATTACATATATACAGTTATCTAACCAATATACAAATACAATTCACCTTTCTCCATTCTCTACCCTCTCTCGATGGTCTCTCTCCTCCCTCTCTCAATTTCGCTCGCCTCTCTCCTCTCTCTCCCAATTTCGCTCTCTTCTCTCCTCCCTCTAACATGTAGCTACGAATCGTAATTAGCAAACTATAGCTATGAAGCCTAATTAAATTGTTTTGAGTGGTTATATGCAAAAATTACTCTTACAAGAATGGCCTTGAAAATAGAGGAAGGTCTATCGAAAATAAACTCTTTATCTTTAAGGTAGGGATAAACTTTGTGTACAAACAGTTTTCATTATACGTGGAGAACGAGTTCTACTCGTCCTTGTCTTTTGGCATGCATGTGCAAGACGAACACTACGACTATTAAAAAACATTTTTACTAATTAATCAATTATCTTAAATTTCTTAAAACAAAATATTTTCTATTTTTTTTTTAATCTTAAAAAAACTTGATCAAACAGATTATAAGCTAATTGAAGGTGGGTTGATATAAAAAGAATAGACAAAAATAATTGGATAATATAAACACAATTAAATATGTGGAGAAGGCGTTCCATTTTTCAATGTCTTTTTGGCATGGGCAGGCAGATCTCTCATAATTGATCTTTAATTAAGTATTTATTAGCTTGGTGTAATAATTCAAATCGAAAAAGACTGATTGTCTTTTCTGGAAGCATGAGGACCTCTCCTTCCACTATAACAAATATGATATATAGCTATGAAATTATTAGCTACGACATCAAATTCGTCGCTAATTGTTCGTTTTTAGTGACAAAATTAACTTTTCGTGCTTAAATAGATGAGACACATACTTTTAGTGACGAAACAAAAAAATTCGTAGCAAAGTTTCGTCTACTAAAGTTTCCCACCAAAAAATTAATTGGCGCCATTTGTTAAGTAGTGTTAGTCACGAATTTAAAGTTATCGGTGACACATTATTTCGTCACTAATAATGTATCTAATTCATGACAAATTATTTTTTGTCTTGAAATTTATTGATTTTTTTACCCAAAAAAATTTCATCTAAAAAAATATGTTGTTACAATATTGACAAATTAGAATTCGTAGTTAAATATTATAAGTTTTAGCTATAAGAATTTAGCTTTAATTGTGTTATTTATTTTCATCACTAATAGTATAAAGGGAAAAGGGTCAAAAATGCCCTTAAGGTATTGGAAATGGCTCAAAAATATCCTTTTTCCATCTATTGGATAAAAAATGCCCTTCCATCCACCTATTTGGATCAAAAATGCCCTTAGAGTTAAATTTAAACCTAAAATTACCCTTATCTTTAACAGAAGCTGATGTGGCAAACATATATTTTTCAATTAAATATGTGAAATTATTTTATTGGTCCACATATAATTAGACCCACTTTCATTCCCAATCATACCCATCAATCCAAACCCATTTCTAGAAGACCCAACTCTTTCTACCTTCATCTTCATCTTCATCTTCATCTTCCTTCTATAAAATTATTTGGAGGATTAATAAAATACTATCAAATTCTTTTGGTATTTTTGGATCTTTGAAAAAAGGTTATAAAAATTTCTATATATCATCATTCTCTGGAAAAAAAATTAATTTACCTACTAATTTTGTGGTAGTGAAGATAAGTGCAATTTAATTTGTACATCAAAACGTATCAAAAGAATGAATGATTTACTGAGATTGGAACAAAAAAATCCTTCATTCAATCTCCCATGGAAGCAAGACACGATTCTACTTTTCATCGAATCGAGCCATATTTATTACATTTCAAGAAAACCGGAGCCTCTAACAGTAGAGGAGGAGTTCAATCTCCAATTAGCTCATAAAAGACTTCGAAAATTTCTGAGAACTGCTTGGAACATCATATTCTTTTACTGATTGTTTTGATATTATTTTATTAATCCTCCAAATAATTTGTAGAAGAAAGATGAAGAAAGTGGGAGAAATGGGTTTGGGTTTGGGTTAATGGGTATGAATGATTGTGAATGAAAGTGGGTCTAATTATATGTGGACCAATAAAATAATTCCACATATTTAATTAAAAAATATATATTTGCCACATCAGCTTCTGTTAAAGGTAAGAGTAATATTAGACTTAAATTTAACTCTAAGGGCATTTTTGATCCAAATAGGTGGATGGAAGGGCATTTTTGATCCAATAGATGGAAGAAGGGCACTTTTGAACCATTTCCAATACATTAAGGGTATTTTTGACCCTTTTAATTGGTGACAAAGATTTCATTGTCTCTAATCAATATGTGATTTAGTGACAACAAAACAATTGTCACAAAATATGTAAGGTGTTAAATAGCGACGACTTAAAATTTGTAGTGAATAATCAACTATTTGGTACGAAAAAATTCATAGCTAAATACAATTTTATTTTTTGCTACAATTGTTCATAATTACAAATGACAACTTACAAAAAGAATAATATAAGTGCTTCATAAGAAATAGACAGAGTCCTTTCATTAATTGGTGAGGAAAAATATTAAAACCAACGAATTCGGTCCATTTTGTAAAAATGAAAAAGTTCAATTCATGAATTTTCTTAAATTACACAATCATAAAATGCGTCATTTCAAAAATACAATCCAGGTTATAAGTATCGTGAATGTGGTACGATTTTGCCACTAGATCACTAATATTTGTTGGTTTAACACTTTTGTTTTTTATTTGATACAGTTCATCGATAAAGACGATAGAAAAAAATAATTTCTCAAGTCTTGGTGCTAATTTTTGTGCGTGTCTATTGATTTGTGATTGGTAAACTGCATAGACTAAATCGATACATTTGCTTCTGTCTAAAAATATGTAGCTATTTAATAGTAATTCCACAAATTCACGTAGATCAACTATACAAAGATAACATCGACTCACAAACTTAGACTTTGCAAAGGTGCGAAATATTTCATGAATTTCTATCAACTTTTCCTTCGGTGTGAAAATCGAAATAAACTAAAAAATGAAAGCAAAAATGAAAGAAATGACCAACCTAGGATTTCAAATATATTATGATGAAGTATTATAGTTATGGGTATCAATGTTTTTTTTTACAAAACAATTGATTTACTGACCGAATTGAACCGATTATTCAATTTTTTAAATAAAATCGAAAGTTTAATTTTATATAAATTTATAATTGTACTAAATAATTTTTAAAATTTATAAAAATAACTGAATAAAATAACTGAATCGTACTGAATATATTTAAAGATATGTTAAAAAATATACAGTTTAATTAAAATATAATCTACATTTGAATGAATTGTGGGTGTTAAATTTCATGCACTTGTGTATGTGTATAAATAATCATATAATATATTATATCTACAAAAGTTAATTTTGAAAGAAGTGAATGAAGTAGAAAATAAATTAAAAAGAGAGACAAGAGAGAGTTGATCAGATGGTAAATACTCCAAACTTCCAACCTTAAGGTTGTCAGTTCGAATCCCCAAGAAAGCATGATGTGGGAGCTCCTAGGTAGGAGTTTAAAATAAATTTGAGATGTAGGGGGGGGGGGGGGGGGAAGGGGGAGGATAATAGGAAAATTAACCTTTTTTATAATAATAAAATTGTCCCTAATTAATACATTTAATAACAAAATAATTTTTGGTATATAAAATATAGTCATTAGTGACGAAATTAGATTTTGTTCAACTACGAAATGCATATAACTTTAGAGACAACTGATATCGTCACTGATTGAAGTAAAATAATTAGCGACAATATAATTTTGTCGGTAGTAATAACCTTTTTAGTGACAAAACATACTATTATCTACAAAAAATATATTTTTTACGACAAATGAATTTGTCACAAATGTTTAAGGATTTGGGGACGATTTTTATTTTTTGTAGTTAATATAATACTTTTAGCGACGAAGCACTAAATCGCCTTTGTATATTTTTAGAGACACACATTTAGTGACGACTGAGTGACGAATTATTTTTCGTCCCACAAGATTTTTAGTGACGAAATATGATTTATAATAACAAAATTATTTGTCCTTGATAATCGAATTTGTTGTAGTATTTCTTTTTTGGGGTAAGTTTGAGATAAAGTAGAAAAGTTTTTTAAATCTTATGATTTGACATTAAAGATATGTGAAATATATCAAAATACATTTTTATCTTATCGTACTAAAGATGTTATACAGAAAGTTAGAATTAAATAATTATCAGAAAAAAGATATTCTTTTTAAAATGGATTAAAAAGAAGATCAAGACGATCTCTCATAATTGATCTCTCATAATTGATCTTTAATTAAGTATTTATTAGCTTGGTGTAATAATTCAAATTGAAAAAGACTGATTGTCTGCTGTCTTTTGTGGAAGCATGAGGACCTCCTTTCTTTTTTTGGGTAAGTTTGAGATAAAGTAAAAAAGTTTTTTAAATTTTATGATTTGACATTAAAGATATGTGAAATATATCAAAATACATTTTCATCTTATCGTATTAAATAATTATCAGAAAAAAGACATTCTTTTTAAAATGGATTAAAAAGAACATCAAGACAAATAAACTAAAACAAAAAACGTATTATTTTAAGTCTTCAAACAAAAATAATTTCACGTAAAATAAGAGAGATGAAGTATATATATATATATATATTGCAATATATTAAATTATCTTTATGGACGGAGCCACCCTAGGTGAAGATAGATCTAATGTACACTCTAGCTATCAAGTGGTGAAGATAGATCTAGGGTGTGTTTGGTATGAAAGAAAATGTTTTTCATGGAAAATGTTTTCTCGGAAAATAAGTTGATTTTTGACTTATTTTCTCATGTTTGGTTGGTGAGTAGAAAATATTTTCCAAAAAAGATTTTTAGTGTTTGATTTATGAATGAAAAATGTTTTTGAAAAGTTTCTTTTATTTTTACTAGAGTAGAAAATAATTGTTGAAATTGAAAATATTTTTTAAAAACAAACTTAATTTTTTTGGGGGGTGGGGGCTGGTAGGGGGTGGGGGGGTTCGAGGTAGGGGTGAAAAATTGAAATTTTGAAGTTAAAAATATTTTTTAAAAACAAACTTAAAATTTTTTTGGGGGGTAGGGGGGGGGCTGGTAGGGCGTGGGTCGGGGGGTCAAGGGTAGGGGTGAAAATTGAAATTTTAAAGTTAAAAATATTTTTTTAAAACAAACTTAATTTTTTTTTGGGGGGTGGGGGGGCTGGTAGGGGTTGGGTGGGTAGGGGTGAAAAATGAAATTTTGAAGTCGAAAATATTTTTTTAAAACAAACTTAAATTTTTTTTTGGGGTGTGGGGGTTCGAGGGTAGGGGGTGAAAAAATGAAATTTTGAAGTCGAAAATATTTTTTAAAAACAAACTTAAATTTTTTTTTGTGGGGTGGGGGGGCTGGTAGGGGGTGGGTGGGGGCTGGGTAGGGGGGTCGAAGGTAAGGGTGAAAAAATGAAATAATATTTTTCAAAAACAAACTTAAATTTTTTTCTTTTTGAAGGGGGTGGGGGGCTGATAGGGGGCTGGGGGGGGGGGGGGCGAGGGTAGGAGGTGGGGGTGTAAAAAAATAAAAAATTGAAATTAGAAATATCTTTTAAAAACAACTTTTAATATTTTTTTGGGAGGGGTGGTGGTAGGGGGTGGGGGTAGGGGTGAGAGTGGGGTAAAGATATTGAATTTAAAAACAAACTTTAAATTATTGTTTTTTTTTAGGGGGGGAGGGGTGGCTGGTTTGAGGGTAGGACCATATAAATTGATTTTTTCAACAATTTTTTTTTTTAATTGAAAGTTGGAAGAGAGTTTTGGAAAATGTTTTCCTTAAGTTTTGAAGGGAAGTCATTTTCCTTAAATTTGAGGAAAATGAGTTGATTTGGAAAACATTTAACCCAACCAAACATGAGAAAATTGAAAAACATTTTCCGAAAAATATTTTCCTTCATACCAAACACACCCTAATGTACACTCTAGCTATCAAGTGCACTATATAAACTTACTCCTATGCATAGAGAGGAATCCAAGACACAAAAGATATGGATGTTGCTAAAATTCTTCACATGAATGGAGGAATTGGAGACTCTAGCTATGCAAAAAATTCATTGCTTCAGGTATACTATATACTATCATCACACAACTTTTTATATACGCATAACACATAAAGATGATCTTTAATTTGATTTTAGCTGTCATCTATGCCCTCCAACTTTAGATGTGCACAAATAGATACTTAAATTTATATAAAATTAAACAAGTAGACACATGCGTCCTATGTGGCATAATACACATATAATGCCACATAAGACGTATATGTTCACTTGTTCAACTTTATACAAGTTCAATGTTTACTTGTGCACACTCAAAATTAAAGGACATAAATACAAGGTAAAACCAAGTTAAAGATCATATTTATCTATTATGCCTTTTATATACTACTTGCATGACTTATAAATTAATTTTTTCCTTATGAATATGCCTTGTAAAATGTTTGCATTAATAATTGTATGTACAGCATAAGGTGATCCTCATGACAAAGTCAATAACAGATGAAGCTATTTCTGCACTCTACAACAACATTTTCCCTAGAGAAATCATACGCATTGCGGATTTAGGCTGTTCATCTGGACCTAACACTTTTTTGACAATCAGCGAACTCATTAAGACAATCGATAACGAAAGAAAAAAGAAATGTCATAAGTCGTTGGAAATTCATATTTTTTTGAATGATCTTCCTAGCAATGATTTTAATACGATTTTTCGATCGTTATCAACATTCTACGAAGAAGATTTGAGGAAATATGATATGGGAAGGGATGAATTATTTGTTGCAGGAGTTGCTGGTTCATTTTATACTAGACTTTTCCCTTCTAATAGTCTACATATTATTCACTCCTCTTATAGTCTACACTGGCTTTCTCAAGTAAGTTTTATCACTCTATAACTAGTACTAATGTGGTTTTACATGTTATATATTATATGCATAATACATAAATACATTATTTAATTTGACTTCCACTGACATCTATTTATGTCCTCCAACTTTGGGTGTGTATATACAAGTACTAGGCAATTAAGTAAACTTGAACAAACAGATACACACACATCTTATGTGGCGTCCTACATGTATTATGTCACATAGAAAATGTGTGTCTATTTGTTAAACTTTATACAAATTTAAGTGTCTATATTTGTGTATATCCAAAATTAGAGGACGTATATACTAGTTAAAACATAATTAAAGGACATATTTATATATTATGCTTATATTATATGTTTCATCGATTTTCTTTTTTGTTAATTATTAATTCATGTGTATAGGTTCCCGATGGAATAGAGAATAACAAGGGAAATATATACCTAACAAGTACAAGCCCACCAAATGTGGTTAAAGGTTATTACGAACAATATGAAAGAGATTTTGTAACATTTCTAACGTATCGATCGAAAGAATTGGTGAAAAATGGACGTATGGTATTGACTATGTTGGGGAGAAAAAACAAAGATCGCTATAGTAAAGGGTGTTCCTATGAGTGGGAGCTTTTGGCCATGACCCTTAAATTTTTTATCGCGCAGGTAAATTACACATTTGATTTTTGATCTTGAAAATTTAATTTAGCGAGTAGTTGGGAGTTGAAAAGTTCAACATCATTTATTTTAAAGATTATCAAGTGTAATTTTCTATTTTTTACTCCTATATAATAAGTATTCAGCAAGACATTCTCATGATGTAAAATTGATAGATTAAAAAAAAGAAAAGTATTCAAAGGGAAAAAAAGAGAAAAAAAGTTTTAAAATACTGCTCAATTATAAATAGAGCTGTCAAAATGGGATGGCCCAACCCAACCCAACCCTAACGGGTTAGACAGTTAAATGGGTTGGGACGGGCTGACCCTTTTAATTAAAGGGCCGATAAAATAGCAGCCCAACCCAGCCCTAAGCGGGCCACGGGTTGGCCCTTCAACCAAAAAATGGACAACATTTTCCTCTTAGAAAGGATACGAACGTTGATGTCCGATGGACACGACATCAATACATACATAAATTCATTCATGAATTACACATACTTCAGTGAATATTTACAAAACAAATACATAATAGCCAAGACACAACATTCATAAGATTCATCCGAGCAAAAAAACATTACATGATCATTATTTTCATAAACAAGACAATAAAGGAGAAGTGAAAAATTAGGCATAAAAACAAAAGTAAAAGAGGTCAAAGATTCATAGTTATAATGGAGTAATGAACTTGGACTAATAAGAAAATTTAGTGGCCTAATGACCCTAAAATGTAAAAAATATGTAAAAAATATAATCTTGATTTTATATTGATATTTTAAAAATATTTATTGACAAAATCTTAACAAGTAAAACACTACTTAAAATATATATAATAAATATTTTTAAAATTCACAGCCCGCGGGCTGGCCTCTGAGGCTTGCGGGTTGGGCCTACGAGGCTAGCGGGCCAAATAAGCCTGGGCTAAAAAGCCTCGTTCCTAAATGGGCTGAAAAAATTGAGCCCAACCCCATTTAATTCAAGGGTTGGGTTGGGCCGGCCTAGCGGGCCAAGCCCATTTTGACAGCTCTAATTATAAAGGGTAAAAATACTTCTTTAATTTTGAGATTTAAAGCGGATATACTGCTCGTTAAAAAACTGATGGATATATCCGTATTATCTAACAAATGGCGTATATCTATCCTTTACTTTTATGCACCCATTTCTAACGAGGAGTATATATTCACTCTAAGTCAAAAAGTTCAGAAGTATATTTGCCCTTCTCTCTTTCATTTACTATTGAGAGTTTTTTATAATTATATTTTTTAGGTTCTTACACTATAGTATATGTAGTTTAATGTTCATACTAATAAATACAGGGATCAATAGACGAAAAGAAAGTGGATTCATTCAATATTCCTCTATACAATCCATCTCCAAAAGAAGTGACGTATATAGTTGAAAAGGAGGGATCTTTCACCATTGACATCTTGAAAACTTCAAAAATTCATAGAAATTCTTGTGATGGTGAGAAATATAATATGGTACAAAGTTTTAGATCTGTGGCTGAACCTTTGCTTGTTAGCCATTTTGGTCATGATGAATTGAATATGGATCAAGTGTTTCACAAGTATAACGAAATATTTGTGAACGATTGCAGGGCAAAAGAAAAAATTATGTTTGTAAATGTTAGTGTCTCCTTGTACAAAAGAAATTAGGGCATGTTGTCCGTGCATCGCCACGGACTCGAACCCTAATGGTTCCCTTTTGTTATTTAGGTTTCAATTGCTTGACATGTAATAATAATCTTATCTTATTAGATATTAATGACAATGTATTCTCACTCCGTCCTAAAAGGATTGTCTTAATTCAAAATACGAGGATCAAACTAACATAACTAGAAATGAGTAGAAGAGTTATTCTTTTCCCCAAATACAAAAAAAAATCGTGTAAAATTGAAAATCTCTCATAAAACAAATTTTGTTAGTAACCTAAAAAACCAATTCTCCCATTCCGACTGTGATTAGAATAGTAATTTAATCGTAATGAGATGAATAAAATACTTCTACATTTTATCTAAATTAAAGTTTCGAATTCGAACTACAATACCAACTAAAATCTGATAAAATATTAAATAGGTTAAAAAAAAGTTATTAAATGGATGTCAAGACAGTCAAATGATGAAAATTATATATAAATCACTTGCCAGTGACTTTTTCCTTGATAGTTTCCCATGTACTCTTTTCTTCATTCTCTGTAGCCTTGTCTAATACTTTCTTGGACATCTCTGAAATTACCTAATCAAATTATTAAATAGAGAAACATCATAATTAAGTTGTCAAAATACTTACTTCAAAGATAATAAAATGGTACTAATATGGAAGAATAGCTTTAGAAAGAAAAACATAAACAAAATATCATCACCTAATCATCAAAAGTTTGGATGTAAAGACATGACACTTAAACCCAACTCAATTTCAAAAATTAATTCACAAAGAAAAAAATTATCCAAATTTATATAAACATATCATTTCCCGATCAATATGAAACTCTAACGCCATTTACACCCAAACCCAACTAATTAAGTGTGAATCGAAAGCTCCTGAACTCAACTCAAATCTTAAAACTAGCTTACGAATATGGATTATCCAAATCCATTCGAAAGCTCCTGAACTCAACTCAAATCTTAAAACTAGCTTACGAATAGGGATTATATATCCAAATCCATATAAGCAGATGAACCCGTTCATTTCCCAGTCAATATGTGACTAACCATTCTAACACCTCATTCACACCTAGACCCAACTAATTAAGCACGTCTCAAGAGCTCCTGAACCCAACTACTAGCGCTATAAGGGCCTATGAGTTAGAAGTGGTGAATGAGATTGAGCTAAGTAAAATATTGAAGTGTTTTATTTGGGATGCAGGTCCAATTAATATTTGGTTAAAAGGGAAAATGAGTTGAAAAGAAGGGTTTATGCATATCAAAGAAAATGTTTGTCCTCTCCTCTTCTTCTAGAGTCTAAGCTTCTCACCTCCATTCATATCTCTATCTTTTAGTTACTTGCTATTTCAATATTCCTATTGTATTTCCGTAGTTTGAGTATTGCAATCACAATTCTTAAGTTGTAACTGCGTTTTAGTTCTCTTCTTAATATAGAAGAATTCGGGTTTGTTACACCAACTCTAACCCAAAAACTAGCTTACCAAGGGAGAATTGTTCAAATCCTATAAAATAGATTACTCGTTCATTTCCCAATCAATGAAAGATTTTAACCTTTCCAAGTCTTTAACACTCCATTTATGCTCAAACCCAACTAATTTAGTGTCGATCGAGAGTTCAATAAAAGGGATGTATCGACTTTGATAGCATGTAAAAATATGACATATGACCTAACTCAACTGCAAAGGCCAATTCATGAACTAATTCATGAAAAGAGGTCGCTCAAATCTATATAATCATACCACCAGTCCATTCCCCATCAGTGGTACTCTAATCACATATATTTTTTTACTTGGATTAAGAAATAAAGTCATAAAAGAAGAAAATTAATAGAACAAATAAAAACAATTATATTTTTTTTGGTAAAAGTGAGAAATTACATTTCCAGCACTAGAAGAGATAGTCTCTTTGAGAGAATCCCCCACACTTTTTACTTCTTGTGCACCTTCCTTCACTGCTACTGCTGCTTCTTTTATTTTTTGGGCTGTCTCTTTATCAATTTTTGCCTGTAAATTTAATTTATTTATTTCCAAAAAAAAATTAAAAAATTATTTAGATATAAAACAAACAAATTCATCAATTTAACGCCAAAATAATACATATTCATAGACGGATCCAGAATTTATCAAGCTAATAAGTTTTTTTAACGCAATATCACATTAATTATTATTATTATTAATAATATAATAATAATTGAATTCACAACCAAATCGATAATTAAAACAAAAATATATTGAATTTACATGAATTTGTAACCAACCATGTAGATCCACCACATATATTTAGGAATAAAGCAAAACTCTAAATTATCCAAGAGTGTCTTCCCCTAACAATCAACTCATTAGCAATTTTCTGATACTCACTCAACTAATAGTTATTATATTATAAAAAATCATCTTAATTCCAATTTTCTTGGATAAAGGAAAAAAAACTGAGACAATAATATTAGTTTAGTGATCATCTAAAATTGTAGATTTTTTTTACAAGTAACTTTTGCTGAACAAAATTACTCGATATGTTATACGTTAAAGAAAAATTACATACATGACATCTACTCATATACAACAATTTAGATGCTTGTAAACTGACTCGAACATGACTTTCTATAATATATATTTTTAAAAATAGGATTATAAACTAAAATATGGAAAATAAAAACTTACAATTTCATTAGGTCTTGTGGGACTAACAAAAGCTCTAGAGATGCAAAGAGTTGAAGGGACAAAATATGTAGTAGAAATAATGGAATTGGACATGGTGGCTATAAGTTTTAAATTAGCCATTTTCTTTAAAAAAATCTTCTTCTTTTTTGTTCTGCAATTTGCTTTTAATGGTTATTTTTTTTATTTTCTATATATATATATTTTGGTGATGTGTTGTCATATAAACTTGTTGGTGGATGCCAAAGAAGTTGACACTTGTCTGGTTTTTGCGACTTTATTGGAAAATGGAAGAAAACTTCTTCAATAACGAAGTGAATTATTTTATTCCACAAAAATACTATTTTCTTTATCTCAATTTATTTTAAATATTTTTTATAAACAGAGTAATATTTAAGAATTTTTTTGAGTGATAAAATTGAAATATTTTTTAAAAATTTATAGGGTTATATATCATTTCATTGTAAATAAAAATATTAAACTAAAAATAACATTCATTTTAAAATAAACTTAAAAGAATTGTGTCACATAGCAGAAGGGGAGTACTTTGTTGGTTTCGATCTATGAGACGTAATTAGATGAGATAAATTGAAGAATTATCTTCTAAAAATTGTGATTTTTATAATTTTTAAGTTAAATATTTAAAATTAGATTATTTTGACAAATAATTTTTTTATTTAAAAAAAGTGTTTTTACTAAAAATAATTTTGCAAGAATATCAAGTTTGTATTTAGGTAAAAACTTTAAATTATATTTTTTTTTATTTGTGTTTTTGATCGATATTTTCTTAAAATTAGCAAGGAGAATAAAAAAAATACTTGAAAATCCCATTAAGAAAAAGGTTAGCTTTGAAAACAAAATTTAATTGATAATCCTTTTTGACTTTAAGAAATTCATTTAATTTGAAACCAAGAAAAAGTGTTGGTAGTTCACTTATTTTGGACCAGATGGTGAATAAAATAAACGGATCATTTTATTTCATAATCCAATAAATGCATAATCAAAGTAGAAAAAATCTAAAATAATTAGTTCATTGAAAACATAATCTTGGATGTTACATATAAATATCCATCAAATTAGCCTAACTATGACTATAACAACATCATTAGCAAAAAAAATCAATGGCTTTTTCTTCTATATCCTTCACTATTTTCTCTCTTCTAATTATTATAACTTTCAATTCAATTTTTGTCACCTCTTCATTATCGTATAATATTCGTATTGAAACTCGAACAAATCAACCTTTGTTTATCAAATGTTTATCAGATGAAAAATATTATGGGCTACAAACAATTAATCCATCAACAATTTGGCCTTTCAATGTTACAATAAGTGAAGATACTGAAAATGGTGTTTTTTGTCAAGTAGCTTTAGAAAATAAACATGGTTTATTTAAATTGTTCCAATATTCAAGAGATGAAGCTTTTTGTCATGAACAAACTTGTTATTGGTATGCAACACAAGATGGACTTTGTTTTGAATTTGAGAATAAAGGTGTTATTTTCTTTAAGTTTGTTGGTTAATTGGTGAAAGTTAAGTGGAGTTCTCTAATAAAATAGGTGAAAGTTGATATTATTATAAGTGGAGTTCTCTGATAAAATAAGTGAAAATATAAGATAATGCGTTAATGTGTCTTGAATGATTAATATTTCAGATGAAATTAAAAATATATATGTTACTGCATCGTAAGGTTATATTTTTTGTCATTGCGACTTTTTTATTACATTAGTGTAGTGTTGTGATTTCATATGACAAAACAAAATTATGTGACTTTGCTTAAGAAAAAAATAGTTTAGTCATCATTTTATGAAATTTATTTCGTTAAGACCTTTATCACAATTAATGATTTATGTCCAATGAAGTCTTTTTTCATTTTGATAAATTATTTGAATTTTATAATATATAAATTTTACATAATTTCCTATAATCCTTTTGTGACGATATATTCCTTTCACCTTGAATAAGAAATTTACAATCAAAATTAAATAAATATTTTATAGGCTCCTACTATTGTATCCTTGAGTTCTAAGGAGACATGAATTTAGCTTGGTGGATGAATTATGTTCATTCGATCATGGTGTTGGGAACGTTTAATGGTTATCAGTCTGATACATAAAAAAAAAAAATTAAAGAGAGAGAATTTTCACAAGGTAAAAAATGACAACTCAACTAATATTTAATTTAATTAAAGTTTTTTTTAATTGGAAATAAATTACTTTTCATAAATAAATATGAAATTACATTAAAAATATTTTATTCATAAACTCTAATTATCTTTGAATAATTATATTTCAGATATACCTCATATGGGGTGTAAGAAATATACATATAAATA